TTTATTAAAACATGTAACTTATAAAATGATTTATCAATATTCAGAAATAAAATAGATTTTCATACTTGTATATAAAACAAAATACAATCTACATGCTCCCTAATCACATGTACCGTACTCTGCAAACAACCCCAGAAGAACTCCCTTACTGATGTTGATAGATGTACTGGTACAATTCATTTAACCTGAAATGGTGAGTAATAGAGTGAGCTTCGGAAAACTCAGTAATACAGATCTACCAAGTGATGCTAAAGGACATGTAGATAAATGTGAAACCATAATTTTCTTATTAAATCAAACGTATACCAATTTGCAAGATAATTTGGGATTCCATTAGTAGTTCATCTAGTAGAAACCATGAAGATCACAGTTCATAGGAAGCATTCATAGTATCACGTTTTCATGAGATCGAATAGGATGTCTAGTGTGTTCCAACAGTACGATAAAATCATAGTAGGTATAATAAATGAGTAATAGTTCAGTAAATCATCATAAAATCATAATGAAGTTTCACTTTTGAAACTCGTAGTTTAAATCCTTTTCATGTACACCATCCGCAGTTCCTCAGAACTACGTCCGTAGGGCTTACCTTAAGCACACAGCAAAAAGGAAGCCACCTAAGGATAGGCTTTGGGCCTGTATCCTTAGGCCCGTAAGTCCATAGGGCTTACCCTAAGAACACGGCAAAAGGGAACCAACCTAATGGAGCATCTTGGGGCCCGTGAGCCTACCCAAGAGTCACATTAGGTCCGTAATCATCGTTATCATATATCAGTGAAAACCAATAATCATATATCAGTCATAGTCCATAAACTATCACCGGTAAGTCGGTGTATCATAAAACAGTAACCATAGATCTTAGTGTACCATATTTCAAAACAGATAAAACAATTATGTAGTACATAGGGAACACACTAGAGGATCCAAGTATTTTTCATAGGCCTTTTGTAATTATCGGTAAGGATAACATGAAACTCGTGCAATTTGATCAGATTACAGGAACGAGGTTATATTGGAGAGAATCGATTACTAACCGATCTAATCGGACACTTAAAGTTGATACTGTAGAATCCCATTATGATTCATGTGCATCAAGAAAGCGTTCAGGAATAACCGGAGTGATTTGAGCTAATAAAAGAGAAACGGAGATTCTATACATTACAATTCATGTTGATGGATCGGTTTATCGAACTATTCGAACTGAACAATTCTCAGAACTAATATGTGTCGACCCGTCAATTTATTGCCTTTCCAAGTATTCACTCTTTAATACCAACAATTCTTGTCCAGAAGATCTTCCTACGGTCTTTATTTCATTTCCATGTTTCAATGATATTAGAAAATATATATGTACATAATTCATGGTTCATGACCCATAAAGACAATTCATCATGTATATTTATCAGTGTTTCCAAACTCATCCAATCACCTATTAAATCCTCAGTCATTGAGGTTACTTAGTTCGTTTAGCACGCAAGTCTATCCCGGTTACTTCAGAGTTTTCCAGATTAATTCAAACACTTTTGAGTTTCGGATATATGTTTTACTTCCGTTCATTTCACTTTGGTCATATACTAAAATCATTTTGGTATTCGTGATTGATTTATCTCACAAATATCCACTTCTTAATATCGAATGCGCTCTAGCGTTGAGCTGAGTTGAGTACTTCCATAATTATCATCAATCCAAACTTGAGGAGACGAACTAGCATTCAAGTGGTACCTATGCCATTCAAGTAATGATATAGCACTATCATTGTTTGACCGACTTAAATTACGTTTAATAACATTAAAAAGTAGTACAACATTCATGTTTATTAGAATTTCTTAATTAATCCAAGACATTTACTTAGTATAGTCTATAAGGGCATTTTAGTCATTTTGGTGCTCAATGTTTTTCCATTCATTTCAAAGCTTGAGGATATCTATTCATTCCTGAACTTGGTGATACTCTTGAGTCATTTCCATCACAAGGATATTTTGGTCATTTTATAGACCCCACGTAGTTTAATCAATTCCTTCCGTCCGATCTTATTATTTAATTCAGACTTATTATCTATTCCATTCTATACAGACAATTCTGACAGAAGAGCACCATCGATAATTTATTCTTAACTCGGAGATTTTCATGTCAATTGCCTTCTCAGAAGTTACAAACAGGTTATCAGGAATTTTCTGCACTAAGTCAGGATCTTAACAATCAAATACGTACTTAATCGAGTTAAGTACGAATCCTCATAGTACTTTCTTATTCAGGGTCAACTCGGACTATTTTTACATTTCAAGGGCATTTTCATAATTTCTTAACCCAAATAATTTCGGTATAACTCTTAACGAAAATAACTATGATTTAGAGATCCTATGGTTAATTTTTTCCCTAACATTCTCTGATCTCAAAATGATTCCTTAACAGACTTCTAGTATCTTGCATAAACCCTCTTGGTTTTAAAAATCGGTTATTCGCATTTCCTATACAAAACTAGAATTTCATATGCACATCAGTAGTTTTATCAGATCAATATGTCTTTTCAGATTTACTAATTAACTTACAGGGACAATTCTTATCATTTTCCAATATAAGGATAATTTCGTAATTTTACCCAATCGAAGTATTTCCATACCTTATCAAATGAGATACTTTATAAAATTTCAAAGTCCAGTGCTAATTCCTATATCACTTAATCTCATAACTTGTAATTGAATTCAAACTGTTCTTCAATTTCTTATATTAGTCATTTGATCCATATTCAGTTACCGAAATTTTTACTATATTCGAATCAAGTGTAGAACTTCATTAATTACACATCTTTACCAAACATTTTCATTCATGCATTTACCAATATTCACATGTTCCATAAAGCATAAAGAGGTAGTAAAGTATTACCTCGATTTTCGTACCATACTGATTGATCATATAAATTCCATTTGAACGCCCTCGATCTTTACTTCAACTTCCAATATTTTCCTCATGATCCAAGCAATCAAAATTACTAACTCGCATCCAAATAATTTCCCTTGCCATAAAAATAACTTATTAGAATCTAAATAATAATTTGAGGACTCAATTGGTAAAATTGATAACTAATGTTGCCATCAAAATAGTAAATTACTTAAATTAGTGACTAAATTGATCTTTTAAAAACTATTACGTCATAACTATAATCACTTGGAAACTAAAAGACAAGGTAAAGATCTCACCTCACTTGAGTGACATACCTTGTGATTTACCACTTTATTTTTCTAGACACCACCCAAGTGATTTTTCATGTTGGAATCATAACACCATTTTCCTTTGTCTTCAGATCATATTCCTATTTGTTTTCCCTTAATTTTTTTTAATGTTTGATTGTTGATAAAGAAAACTAATTCCAAGCTTCTTAGTTCGATGATTCCACTGTTAGATTCATTGTCCACGGTGGATGTGAAAAACGTCATGATCTCTAACTCGATGGTAGCCAATTCTTCTTGTTCCTCGACTTGATCATTATCGACCACCACAGGGAGGACTTTTTGCTGCAAATTCTCCAAGCTGGGACTCGCTGCTAGTCAGTGTTTCGCCCGATTTCGACCCCATGAACCTGTCTTTGCTGTGCAAATTGCTGGATAAAAATTGGGTTTCGTAGAGCTTTAGCAAGGAATGTCATTATCTGATGTTGTTTCCTTTCTGTGTTCTGTAACCTTCCCTCCATTGCAACAACTTGGTACCTTGAATGCTGTTGTTGCTGCCTTAATCGCACGATCTCAGCTAGTAAAACACTTTGATCCCTCTTTAATCGTTCCAATTCTTCATCTAATCCAAATTATCCTAACTCAACACAAGCTCCTCCACCTTGATGTTGCGAGCTCGACACCAAATTTCTTCTCCTCTTGATCGTTTTCAATAGGTGCTTTTGGGTACTGGTTTCGTTTCCCCCCAATGGAGAAGATGATTATTGTCATCTATAGTTTTATAAAATAATTTTAATAATTTAGTATTAAATAGTACCCTAGACTAGTTGACAAAGACATGATCTATTATTGCAGGACACAGTTTCAATCCCACCAAACACTTGAGAAAATTGTTCAATGCAAGTGGATGAATAATCCTTATTTTATGGATATTTTAGTTCCCTTGACAATGACTTCCATTTATTTATTATATGCAAGGAGATTGTTTTTTGGGGAAAAGTCAGAGCAATAAGTTTATTTAATAGATATCATGCTTTGGTGGATACAAACCTGGCCGAAAGTGAGCTAAAAACATTGAATTCCAACCATAGTGGCAATGCCATTATCCTTAATTTTCATAGTGGACCATAATTTTAATTTGACTAATACTTAAATCAAACATTTAATCATAAAGAAATCTAACCCCATATTGGGGTGTGACATATTGGCAATGTTGTTCACTCTTTGGGGCTTTGCTTCTTCTATCTACCAACAATATCTTGATGAAAATAAATCAAAGGATTAGGAATCCGAGCGAATTGAAGATTCTAAATCCGAACTTAACTCAATTGATTCGGATGATATTCAATAAATTTAAAGTTCAAACACTACATCTGTAACTTTTTTTTTTCATTTTCAGTTGTATCTGTAAGCTTCTTATTTCAATTGTGTTGAAATTTATTTCACGGTGTCATGTTATTTGGATTGGGATGAAAATATTGAATGCAAGTGTGCACTGAGAAATGTCTAATATGAGTATTTGAGTATTTGGAGGACTCTTAAAAGAGTAATATATCGATATTCATATCCGATATTACATAGGTCATGTATATTTCATGAAAAATGAAGAATCGGAGCAACGTAGATACGAACAAGTTCAGATATTCCACTTTCTTTGAAGCACTTGGCAAATTCTTCCTGCAATGGTTTCTGCATTCATTATGGGATTATTATCAACTGCAAAAACCAAGCTAAGATCAGAGTCAACAGACATGATTGTATATGCGTATATAATTATGTATACATATAGGATGATTATATATATATACCTCTTTTGATCGATGGAATTAGCAAACCAGTCAACTTGTCAATCTGGTAAAATTTTCAAATTAAGTTATCATGAAATCGTAAGTTTGAGAGACTAATTGAAGCATGGAAGAAAAACCAATTATATGATATGAAATCAGCTGATAGTTACAAGGGTAAACCTACCACGAAAACATAGGTTATATTTGGATCAAAGGAGGAGGCCATCATGGCATTGAAATCAGGTCTTCTTCGTAAATCACATCCTAAAACATGTCGAAGATACGTACTTACACGAATATAAACGAAAACAAACGTAAACTGCGCCTACTTATAAACCCATCCAGAGGCATTTCTCTTCCCAAAATAAGATACTGCTAACCTATGACACGGAATGCAGAAAATAGATCCCTGAAGCTATGACTACGACTGAAGCTGCGAATAACGGGGAAATCAGGACCGCATGATGGTCCTGTTTGGAAAAATCTTCCTGTAAAAACAATTGATAAATTATAAAAACCATTTACTTAAGCAACAGGTTCCTATATACATTCGATGGAAGGAAATTGTTGTCTTAACATTAAATTATTAAGTTTTGAAACTTCAGTCCAATTGCTTCTGTTTCAATATTATTAGATATGTTCTGCAGAAGACCAACATTTTATCATTTTCAATCCATTCATTGGGGCCACCACAGGCATCCCTCATTTCAATTCTTATTACCTACCTTGATTCTTGCCATACTCTATCTTTGAAAGAAATTAACCCACGATAAATTTATTAAAACGAAAGTGAAACACCCAGAAAATGCCGATTAAGATAGTTATTACAAGGTGGAAATACTCAAGGGAACGCTGCTATAGGAGAGGATGCAGGAAAACATAATACATACAAAAAAGCACCCACGCAGCAATAGATATGAAACAGCTACAGAAAAGGGCCTGCCTACCACCATGCAATGAAGTTTTCTGCTCTCTCCACCGCTCGGTCTGCAACAAAAATCCGTCAAAGAGTTCCCTTTTTTATAAATCTCTGTTGAACTCTTACGTAGATCTTAATGAACCACCATGGTTTTCCAGTTGTGAATACAATGTATCCCATGCTTAATCCCAACACCAACCCACATCCATACCCTATCAGTATAGAAAATTTCCAATTCAATCCATCATCATCATCATCTCTATCGAATTTGGCTGGAGTTCCCTCATCATTATCACAGCTTTTTGATAATGGCAATCCACATAAACCCAAGTTTCCTATGTAGGAATCATTACTGAAAGTCTCCAATTGTTTGCCTTGAGGAATGGGTCCCATGAGATTATTATGAGAAAGGTTTAACACCTCTAGGAATCCAAGATTTGTAAACTCTGTTGGAATTCTTCCATGGAGCTTGTTTGATGATAGATCTAATGATTCAAGTTCCGACAAATCACCTAATGATGATGGGATAGGACCTGTTAAACAATTATGAGAGAGATTTAGGACAATGAGTGAATGAAGTTCTCCAATTGTTTTAGGAATTTCTCCGGAGAATTGGTTGCTGGAGAAGTCAATAGCTGTCCATATGGTTAATAGTTTTTCAAACTCTGTTTCCAACCCTTTTGTTGTAAAAGATAAACCTGGCCAAATAAATACTGTTCCACCAGCTATTACATCTTCCATGTACTCTGGTTTAACTTTCTTTCCATTCCCTTCTCTAATGGCATGCAAATTTTCAAAAAAATTTACAGGTAGGTAGCCACCGAAGTTATTATGAGAGAGATCAATGACACGTAAACGAGTGAAGGTAACATCAGAGCTATCCAACTTACCATAGAATCTATTTTCTCTCAAGTCTAGCACTTGTAACTGATCCAAATTTCCTAACCAATTTGGGAAAGTGTCACTTAAATAGTTGTTCCCAACATCAAGAAACTCCAGTTCTTTACAGTTACCCAAAGATCGTGGCAGTGACCCTTCGAATTGGTTGTTGCTGATTAGAAAACTTTTTAAGCTGCAACCTTCAACAAAATTTTCAGGTATTTTACCATGAAAATTATTCATCCGTAGGTCAAGGGATAAAAGGGAAGAACTCAAGTTTCCAATGCACTCTGGAATTGTTCCATCCAAACCATTATTCCCCAAAGTGAGATCCATAAGGGAACTCAAATTGCATAATGAGGAATGTTTGTTAATTTACTTAACAACATCAGGCCTTTTCTTACAATACCATTTATGGAGCCTGAATTGTAGTGAAATATATAACTGTTTTTAAAACGATTTTAAATATTCTTCTCATTAAACAAAAAGATGACAATTGCAAATCGATACACTTTCCAATAGTTAGGAAATATCACATCACACGCAAAAAATTACCAAATTTTGGAAATATCAAGGAAATTTGGTTTAGTTCATTTCGAGTTGAAAAAACAAGATATTTTAAATTTAAATCATGGATTTATTTGAATTTAATATTTAAATGATTTATTTTTTAATACAAAAGGACACGTTAAATGAAAAAAATTCTTATAAATAATTAATAAATATATAACAAAATAACAACAAAAAGATGAAGGAAAATTATATTATACCTGTCAAGTTGTTATTCGAAAAATCAATAACTTCTAGATAAATTATATTTTCGATAACCGATGGAATTGTACCTGAAATGTAAAATTAAATTTGTCAAAATAATTTGATGAAATAAGTATATTGTGTCTAGAGTAGTGTGATTATCTTTATGTTTATATTTTTAGAATTTAGGTAATTTTGAACTAGAACTTGTATACTCTATTTGTCTCATATTAAATAAAATGACTTAAGAAATATGTCCAATTACAAGACATGAATGCGTTTTATTATTTTCATCAATTCAAGACATTATATATGTTGCAAAAATAAAAATTTTATTAAATTGTTTTACTACTTATGAAAGCTCCAAATAGTTGGAAGTATTAAGTCTAAAAAGAAAACTGAAGCATCCAAAAAATAAATAAATCAAGCACTAAACATGACAATATTACATAGAGTTTTTTTAAGTATCATATTCAAGTAGTTAGAAGTCTGAAATGTGAAACTAATTTATTTTTTCATAGCCAAAAGTATTACTATATTAAGAGACTAAAAATTTAAAAAACTACAGAAATATAAAATAGTTCTAAGGTATTTGATTCAGAGAAGACTGACGATACAACTTATTTCAATATGTAAGTTATATTATACCTGCCAAGTTGTTATTCGAAAAATCAATAATTTCTAGAGAAATTATATTTCCGATAACCGATGGAATTGTACCTGAAATGTAAAATTAAATTTGTCAAAATAATTTGACGAAATAACTATATTATGTCTATAGTAGTGTGATTGAGTATCTTTATGTTTATAATTTTGAATTTAGGTAATTTTAGAAATATGTACAATTGGTTTAGTGATCTGCACATCCAATTACAAGACATGAATGCGTTTTATTATTTTCATCAATTCAAGACATTATATATGTTGCACAAGTTAGGCCTAATAAAAAGTTAAAAGATGTACTATTTTTGTTTTATTTATTCTAAATTAACCCCTGTTTTGTTGTCATTTTAATTTGGTCACTGATTTATGCATTTTATATTTCGAATTAACTACTAACTTTCATCTAATGAAAATAAAAGAGAAAGGAATGCAAATGAGAAATTTTTTACCTTTGAAGTTATTGCGACCAAGATACAACTGTTCCAGCATAGTCAAATTTCCGATTCCTATAGGTATACTTCCTTCCATAGAGTTGTTCCACAGTGATAAATACCTCAACTCTTTGCACTTGTATAAACTACTGGGAATGATACCAGAAATTTGATTCTCGGTCAAGCTTAATGCTTGTAATTTAGACATGTTATCAAATATTTTCGACTCTAGATGGCCTGCGGTGAAATTGTTAGTTATATAAATCTTTTAACTAATGAAAATATATTCAATATCGAGAAAGATATAAAACCTAAAAAACATGATATTATATCTTTAAAGTTGTTAAAAGAAAGACTAATATTCTCAAGATAAGTAAAGTTTGTAATAACTTATGGAATTTCACGTCAAACATATAAGTAAACCGATCAAAATTTATTAATAAATTTTCTAACAAACCCCTAATTTCTATGTTGAGCACTAGAGGCATTTGTTCTCCATTTCTTTCCCTTTTTATTTTCTTAAACTTGAAAATTTTATTCAAATTTTTTTCACTGCTTAAGAAAGCTGCAAATAGTTGAAAATATTCAATCCAAACACATCTTTACCCAAGAAATCGTTATTAGAAAATTTTATGTACGCGAGAGAATTCAAATTTTCATTTACCGATGAAATTTTATCTAAAATATATAATTAAATCTGTCAAAAACTATTAATATTTTTTTATAGAAGATCCTTATATTTTTGTTGAGCGCTTTAGTTATATGTTCTGTATTTATTTCCCGTTTTAAAAATAAAAATAAAAATAAAAATTTGTTAAATTGTTTTAGTACTTTTGAAAGCTCCAAATAGTTGGAAGTACAGGTCCAAAAATAAATCAAACAGTAAACATGAAAATATTACATACAATTTTTTATGTATCATATTCAAGTAGTTAGAAGTATGAAATGTAAAACTAATTTATTTTTTCATAGCCAGAAGTATTACTATATTAAGAGACTAAAAATTTTAAAAACTACAGAAATATAAAAATAGTTCTAAGGTATTTGATTCAGAGAAGACTAATGATACAACTTATTTCAATATGTAGGTTATAACTTATTCATTTAGTCTGCCCTAATTTAATATTAAATAATTGGTTGATGGTTCAATTGTATATAAAAATTAGATAACAAAAAATGAAGAAAAAAATTGGAATTGTTCAAGTGAGAGTAGATGGCCTGCAATGACAACGTTAGTTATAAAATAAACTTTTTACTACTGAAAATAAAGTCATGATTGAGAAAAATATGGAACCTGAAAGAGAATTATGACCCAGAGATAACCATTCCAAGTTTGAAAAGTTTCCGATAACCGATGGAATTGTACCTGAAATGTAAAATTAAATTTGTTAAAATAATTTGACGAAAAAAATAAGATATTTTAAATTTAAATCATTTTAGAATAGATTTATCTGAGTTTAATATTTAAATGATTTATGTTTGAATACAAAAGGACAAGTCAAATGACAAAAATTCTCATAACTAATTAATAAATATATAACAAAATAACAAAAAAAAGAGGAAGAAAAGTTATATTATACATGTCAAGTTGTTATTCGAAAAATAAATAATTTTTAGAGATATTATATTTCCGATAACCGGTAGAATTGTACCTAAAAAGTAAAATTAAAATTTTCAAAATAATTTGTCAAAATAACTTCTGAAAAGTAAAATTAAATTTGATATTAAATAATTGGTTGATGGTTCAATTGTATATAAAAATTAGATAACAAAAAATGA